GTTCAACTCTTGTGAGTCACTTTTTGACAGAGTTATCAATATCCATGTTTTCTCATCCACTATTATTCTGTACAAATATTTCTTAAATGCGCTCCACTTTTGTCCCCAATACATATTTCCTTACAAACCATTTCATCAGATACCATTCAGCAAGTTTTTTCTTTTTATTGAATTTAGTGAGAAAGGGAGAAGAAGAGAGAAAAACATCATGATCAATTGCCTCCCTCAACCTGGGATGGAAACCTCAACTTGGCTATGTCCCCAGACCAGAACTGAGCCCACCACCTTTTGGTACAAGGGAAGGCACTCCAACTCAGCCACACCGGCCAGGGCCCATATAGCAGGTTTTAATGGTGGCACTTGCTTCATCTCATCAGGTATCAAAGGAATATATTCAAACAACAAACATGAATGGTAATGTTTCAACTCGTTAAACAGATTTGTTGGTTGAATATTTAGAGGTTGCAGTTGGTCGGTCATGCCTCTAGGAGAAACAGACAGGTGTGTACATTTGAGGCAATTAGAAGTAAAACATCAGCAGCTATAAGACGCATCATGGTAACAGATGTGAAAACAAGTATGTGCTATAACAGTGGTCGGCAAAATGCAGCTTGAGAGCCACATTTGGCTCTTTGGCCCCTTGAGTGTGGCTCTTCCACAAAATACCATGGCCTAGGCGAGTCTATTTTGAAGAAGAGGCGTTAGAAGAAGTTTAAGTTTAAAAAATTTGGCTCTCCAAAGAAATTTCAATCGTAGTACTGTTGATATTTGGCTCTGTTGACTAATGAGTTTGCTGACCACTGTGCTATAATCTAGGAGTATTTCACATTATGCAAAAGAAAAAAGCCTCAATTTTTTTTAAATTTTAAAAATGATTAGGATCAAATGGTCTAATAACTTATCATATCAGAAGCTTTAAGTTTCCATAATCTTTGTTACTTCACTATTTGGATTCCATCCTAAATAAGTAACCCAAATGAGAGCAAAAATGTATGCCCAAGTATGAATCTCAGCCCAATATATAAAAGCAAAATTTGGGGGGGAAAGTCTAAAAGTCCAGTAAGACAATTAACTATTAAGTCAGCTAAGGAAACATGCAGCCTTAATTTCCTTTATTCAGAATGTAATAACATGTGAAGATGCTTAAATTATGTTAAATTAAAACCAAATAAAAATTGTATACACAACATAATCTCAATTACATTAAAATGTATAAGAGAGAAAAAAATTAGAAAGAAGGAAGTAAACTATTAACAGGGTTTTTGGCTGGGTACATGGCACGTAACTGCTTTTTTTTTCCCCTGTACTTCCAATTTTTCTGAAGTAAACATTATTTTTATTACCAGGTACAAAAATAAAATAGCTATCTATAAACAGCTGTGATTCAGAGAAGTTGAGTAACTTGCCCTAAACCAGAAGGGACCAAGTGGCAGTGAAGGTTAAAACCTTTAAATCCTAATCCCAGATCCAGGACTTTCCACTCTCAGGTACTCCCTAAGAATCACAAGTTTCCTCCCTTTCCAAATCCCAGTTGTCCCCAACTAATTTTCCCAAATAAATGTTATTTAGTTCAAAATTATTACTTCCAGAAATTGAAATATCAGTGTGGCTATTTCATCAAAAATTACTGTAAAACTGACCCTAATGTGGCACATTCTTGTAAAAACAAACAAACAAACAAAAACACTAATGCTAAAGTTGTAAACTAATTGTGTGAAAAGTTCAAGGAATAAGTCAAGAGATTATATCCTCTTCACAAGTCGTAGCCAGGGCACTGTACAGCCTATTTTGAGCTGTGTGTGTCTTTATAGGCTGAAAAGCCAGGCCAGGCAAAAGAAGGGGACGGATAATAAAAAAGCAAAAGGACAAAGTGCACCTAACCAATACACCTCACATAAGTTTTGCAAAGTGTATGAAACAGATATAGTTTATAACTTTACACTAAGAAAATAATTTGAACTGGCTATTCTAGCAGTCAAGCCAAGATGTGGGTTTCTCTTTGTATCAGTATTGGCTGATAAGAGTACATTACCAGCAGGCAACTGGCCAATAAAGATAACTTTCAGCATGAAAAATCAAATCAATTCCACAATCAGAGCCCAATTTCAACTTGGCAATTAAAGTTGGCACAAGCCGGGTAGCTTAGTTGGTGGAGTGTCCTCCTGACACGCCCAAAGTTTCGGGTTCCATCCCCAGTCAGGGCACAAGAATCAACCAATGAGTGCATGAATAAGTGGAACAATAAATCCACAATATTCTCTCTCTCTCTCTCTCTCTCTCTCTCTCTCTCTCTCTCTCTCTCTCTCTCTCTCTCTCTCCTCCCCCCTCTCTCTCTCAAATAAATGAACAAATATTTTAATTTTAAAATAACCCACGGCAGACGTGCCGCCCAGGAAAGGGGCATATTAAGCTGCCAAGACACATGAAGAAATACATGGAACGGTGTAGTTCAAACCAACATCTCAAGAACATTGTCTTCATTCTACGTGGTAACCAACCATCAACGTGGTCTTACATAGCTTAAATCACTGTGTAAGGCTTAAGGATGACATTTCTCTATGCAAGTGACAGCCCCCACCAACCAGCGTGTTTTTAACATAGCTGATTTCATCCTTCAGTCCTAAAAACATAACCAATGGTTGTTTTTCCTAGATTGTCTTCAGCTAAAGCATTCGCAGTAGCCGCATTCCCAAACGCGCACACACACACAACCCCGGGCTTTTATTTTGATGAGTTTTCCAGGGCCAGGTCAGCAGGGAGCCGCGCGGGGGTCGCGGAGCCTCGGAGGCGCCGTCCGTCACACGCTCGAGTGACAGCGGCCACGGCCGCGGCCACGACACCGGGCGCCCAGGGCGGGGAGGCTCGTGGACCAGGTCGGGGTGCTCTGCACGCGCAAATGCACGGCCTTTCAGCATCTCCCGGGGAAAATCTATTCATCTCTCTCTCTCCCCAGCTTGCTCAGACATCATCGAAAGAGTCCACCGGGTTCTTTCTCCAGGATTTCCTCGGGAGGAGAGGTTTTCGGGGAGGAAATCCCAGGATCGGGATTCACCACCGCCCATCGCGGCGATAAAAACGCACAGAACGAAGCCCTGCGAACGTACGCGGCCGCCGGGCCGCAGAGGGGCCGGACCCCGCGCGCGGCTCCCGGCCTAGCGGCGCAGGCCCGCGCGGGCTGCGGGCGGGCGGGCGGCGCGGCCTGGGTGGCTCTCTCTGGGCGCGGCTCGCCGAGGGCGGGGGCGCGGGGCGGCGGCGCCCACCTGGGCCGGGGCGGGCCCCTGCGGCCGCCAGCGACGTCAGGCTCCGGGATCGGCCCACGCGGCTCCTACCCTCGCCTCCAGCCGCCGCCCGCGCCTCCTCACCTGCGGGCTGTCCTCCAGGGTCTCCTCGATCGGCAGCTTGTCGATCCCCGGCATCGTGGCGGAGGGAGGGCAACGGGCAGGTGACGCGGCGGCCGCCCACGGTTCCCACGCCGACCCACCCGCAGCAGCTGACCCCGACCCACCCTCTCTCTCCCGCAGTCTTTGCAGCCGTCCCTCCCGCGCCGCCCTCGCCCGGAGCCAGGCGGGAAATCCCGCCCCTTCTGGATCCACGCCCCGCCCCCCGGCGCGCTCATTGGCTCACGGCGATGCCTGTCAGCGCGGCGGGCTGGCCGGGGGGGAGGGGCTTTCCGCGGACACTGCCGTGCGTGCTCGCGCTCGGGTGTGTCTCGTAGGGCGCCGTCTCCCATCGCCGCGCGCGTCCCGGGAACCAGAGGCTCGAGTGAGGACCGCAGCGGGGAGTTTGGGGCGGCTCTAGTTGTCCCTCAATGTTTTTCGTCAGGGACCACGCCGGAGGCCCTGCTGCTGTGGCCTTCCCTTCGTTCCTCACCCCGAACCTTCCCGCCCCGCCCCGAGGCGGCCGGTCTCCCCGCTCCACACCTCCCTGCTGGCTACCGGAGGTCTGTGGCATCCGAAGTCGTGTCATTAGCCGGGCTTTCCCGGCTAATTCGTCCTACATTATTTTTCTGGACATTTGGATACCAGTTTATTCGGCTTAAAACATGTGCCTTTGTCGCCAAATCATCAATTCTTACCTGGTCTTGAAGGACTGACAGGCCACAATTTAGACTTCCATATTCTTTAAAGTCACAAAGAAAACACCTTTTAAAAAGTCAGAATACCCTAGTCATTTATGTTGGCAACTGATCACACTTCCCTTTGGTGAAATTTTTGGAAGGAGCTTCTTGGGCCTGTTTTTAAGTAGAAAGGAGTGAAGTGTTGCTCCTAGGACTTGATCTGGACTAGAACACCCACCTCCTCGTCCCCCTCAGCGCCTCCTCGGCCACTTCACACCCTCCTTCACTTATAATAGAAATCACAGTTGCACCTTCACACCCTCTTCACCCACCTCACTGCCTCCTCATCCTCCTCACCGCCACCTCCTCAACCCCCTCACCACCACCTCCTCATCCCCCTCACCACCACCTCCTCATCCTCCTCACCGCCTCCTCATCCCCCTCACAGCCTCCTCATCCCCCTCACCACCACTTCCTCATCCCCCTCACACCCTCCTCATCCTCCTCACCGCCTCCTCATCCCCCTCACCGCCTCCTCATCTGCCCCTCACACCCTCCTCATCCCCCTCTCACACCATCCTCATCCACCGCACACCCTCCTATCAGCCTCCCCCTGCCTGGTTTAGTTCTCTGTCACGTCCTACAGAGAATTAGGTGCTTTCCTCACAGGTGAAGTGGCAAATCACAGTGTCTCCTAAACATCTAGCCATTCCTCCCACCAACCCATTCCATTTTCATTCAAGAGATGTTGAGTATAAAGATTATTCGTTGCCTGGTTCCACTGATACATTGAACCAAATCCAGAAACAGTGACAGGAATGGAAGTTACTTTTCAATTGATGCTAGATTTTCCTACAATCTCGTAAGGATAAAAATCAGGCTTTAAATGTTTTCCCAGGTAGACTTGCAGTAGTTTCACAGAAGTGTCCTTCGTGTTATAAACTTGTAACTAAAAGTTGCTGTTTCCCAGCTGCGTAGATGTACCCAGAGCATCTCCAGGTCTCAGCAACCGTCTGTCCTCCCTGATTTCCCTTTCACTCTGGCAGCACAGCGGCGTGCAACCTGGCTGTACCTGAGGAAGACTTGCAAGGTAAGGGACCTTCTTGGTGCAACTGTGATTTCTATTATAAGTGAAGGAAAAGAAAAGTAGTGGCAATTGACAAGAATCAAGAGTAAGTGACAAGTGAAAACGGAGTGTAAGAAAGAAGAGTAATTCTAGGGTGCTATTGAAGAGATTTGGCCAGTTGGCCAAACCCAATAATTTCAGAGAAAAATTCTATTAGGTATCTGAATGATCTGGGTGGGATATTCTCATCAAGTTAAATGGTTTTCTCCTTTGTGTGGTATATGCATCTAAACTGTATTTTTGTAATGGATTCTCAAGAGGCTATGATATTATCAAGGAGGGACAAGGAATTCTTACTGGACTCTGCTGATTAAAAAAAAAAAAGCAAAAAGCAAGTTGACATTCAATTGAATGAAGAGGCAGTTTAGTCAAATCATAAAACTAAAAAGAATCTTAACAGGCATTCTGTTTGGATCCTATATCTTTAGGCTACTACTCTGCTTGTCCAAAAAGATTATTGTATTTTCTATTTTAAAACATCTCCACAACTGCAGAATTACAACCTCCTCTGACAACCAATTTAAGTTTAATCAACTAGATTCTGTACCGTTGACCAAACTCAGTTCCTTTTACACAGGAAATGAGGCTTGTTCAGAGAGAATGCCTTAGGGGGTTATTGGAGACTCACATGTGGGGAGCACAGTAAAAATTCTGGCCAGCTGGTTAATTTTATGGAAGGCAAGGCAGGATTAAACGACATTCACCACATAATGCTTTGAGACATTTCATACATGTAATTTACAATAAAAAGGCATACAATCCTGTAAATAGATTTGTTAATTATTAGTCTCTTAAAATTATATTTGATCTTATAATTAGGTGTTTATATGATACTCCTTGAAGTTCTGGTCTGTGGTCTGTAATAGGAAAGAATCTAACAACACAAATGATTCTGATACTTTACTTTTCAAAATTATCCCCCTAGGTCATACAAGTCATCTGGGGAAGGTTGTTAGCACAGCTGGAAGATTCTGATGCCAGAGGTCAGAAATGGGGTGGGAGTTATCCCATGTGAGTCAAAGCAAATAATCCTCAAAGCACATATTGAAAAATTCCATCCAAAATGGAGAATAACCATTATCTGTTCCAGAGAAGCCTTGTATTTCAGAAAATGCAGAGTCAAGTAAACATTTAAGAAAAGAGTCCTAGATTCCATCTGAGAATAGGGGCAGGGGCACCGTTTCCAGAATCACTCGGAGAGTAGGGGAGGCCTCATCTTCACAAATATCCCCTGAAAGTCCCAATAAATATGAAATTCTGAGGAATTCCTACTCAAATAATTCTGGATGTTACCTAGTAAATCACTTGTTAATGGACTCATTTTAACAGATAATTGTTTTCTTAAAATTTTTTTATAATTCTTTATTGTTGATGTAAGTATTACATATGTTCCCTTTTTCCCCCCATTGACTCTTCCAGCCAGCCCGCCCCTCCTCTCAGCCCCAGGCCTTCAGCACCCTATTGTCTATGTCCATGGGTAATGCATATATGCATACAAGTCTTTGGTTGATTACCTGCCCTCTCTCTCCCTTCCCCCCTTCCCTATTAGATTCCACACTCTATTTCATGCTTCCACGTCTCTGGATCTGCTCTGTTCATCAGTTTATTTTGTTACTTAGATTCCACATATGAGTGCAATCATGTGATACTTGACTGACTGACTTATTTCACTTAGCATGATCCTCTCCAGGCCCCTCCATGCTGTCTCAAAGGGAAGAGATTCTTCTTTTTTACTGCTGCATAGTATTCCATGGTATAAGTGTACACAACTTTTTTTTTTTATCCCCTCATCTCCTGATGGGCACTTGGGCTCTTTCCAGATCTTATCTATTGTAAATTGTGCTGCTATGAACTTATTGGTGCATACATTCTTTCTGATTGGTACTTCTGGTTTCTTAGGATATATTCCTAGAAGTGGGATTTTTATTTTATTTTATTTTATTTTATTTTATTTTATTTTATTTTATTTTTTATTTTAGAGAAAGAGGAACAGGAGAGGAAGGAAGACAAAGAAAGAGAAACATTGACTTGCAGTTCCACTTATTCATACATTTGTTGGTTGATTATTGTATGATCCCTGACTAGGGATCAAACCCACAACCTTGGCATATCAGGACAGTGCTCTAATTAACAGAGATACCTGGCTGGGGCTCAGTTGTTTTCTTAACATACAGCTAAAATAAACCAAGAAATTAGCATATTAATTGGCAATTTGGGAAACTGAGTCATTTCTATTCACCTTAAAACATTAGAACCAGTGGTCAAATAGGGTAAAGGTTTGGGAAATCTGAGGGTAGACTCAAAAGTTCTGAGGAGTGGATTTCAAAAAGAGGTGGATAAGCAGCAAGAACCAACAGATTCTTCACTGTGTCACTGCAAACCATCTTCCACCTGTGACCTTTGCTCTTTCCCAAGCATCCTTAAATTCTGTAGCTTCTACTTTCTTGGCTGTACAAAGAATAAAACTTTATTCCTAGAATAACTGTATATGCTTCTGTTTGATTCCTTTTTTAAAATATATTTTTATTGATTTCAGAGAGGAAGAGATAAACATCAGTGATGAGAGAATCATTGACCGGCTGCCTCCTGCAAGCCCCCCCACTGGGGATCGAGCCTGCAACCGGGGCATGTGTCCTTGACCGGAATCAAACCTGGGACCCTTCTGTCCGCAGGCCTATGCTCTATCCACTGAGCTGAACTAGCTAGGGCTGTTTTTGGAAGAAGAGGACATTACTAAATTTCTTTGGCCAGGCCAAGAACTTTGAATCAAAGCAAAGTCCTCTCAGTTCTGTGGAGAGATGGATAAAAGCCTAGACTAGCTTGGCTATCTTTGATTCCTGGCTGTACTCTTTACTATTTTTGTGACTTTGTGTCTCCATTCTGTCATGAAAAATGGGACTTAACGTAGAGAACCTACATTAGGAGGTTGTGAAGATGATTGATGAGTTTTCACAATAGTGCTAAGTACAATAAACATTCAAGAAAAATTACCTAGCTTAATTTCATTATTTAATCTTAAATATTTTAATGCTTTTAAGGCAACTTCCTTTTCTTATTTTTTTTTCCTTTTTTCATATCTAAAGAAACCAATATTTCCTATGTTAGAAGATTATGCTTATTCTTTTAGAGAATCCTGAAACTATTTTAAACATTAACATTACCTTTGCTAGTGTTTTATCACTTTGACTTAGGGGGTTTTATAGCCAAGAAATGAGCATATTAATTGGCAATTTAATTTCTCCTGTTCCTCTTTCTCTAAAATCAATAAAAAATGTTTGTAGGTACCAAAACAACAAAGGCTCTTATCCTGTTTTATGGTTTTTGGCAATGGGGAGGAGTAGATGCCCTAAGTTTTAAAGACATAAAACTTAATGATACTCTTACTCCCACTCTAATTCTGGGGCAGGTTAGAAAAGAGGTGGTCCTTAGAGAAGCCAGTGTGTTTCACACTGTTTAATCATTGAAAACATTGTAATTTCTACAGAACCACAGAGGGCAGTAAAAACAAACAAACAAACAAACAAACAAAAACAATGGCCAGTGCAAATAAATATGAATTAATCAGCACATCCTTCCAAAAAGCACTAGGTGGTGCTATAAATTTAGTTTTGAGATTCAAAGTACTATATCTCAGGAAATGGTTGTCTTTATTCCACAACCATTTACTATGTAATGAACAAAATATTAAAAATCTGCCCTTGTGAGGATGGTGAGAAGAAAGAAAATGATTTTTTAAAAATAAGCATAGTAAGTCATTAGAAGTATAGTATTTTAGAAAGTGGTACACACTATAAAAAATAGAGCAGGGAAAAGGAGATGAGGAGGCAGTTGCAATTTTAAAAATAGGCTCACCAGGGCTGAGGCCCTAAGACTTAAGGGTGGAATTGTCTGGCCTGTTTTCAAAAATTGCATAGAGACCAACGAGACAAGGGAGGAATGAGCCAGGAGAAGTCTGACTGGGAAGAAGGAGGAAGAGGAGGCCACGCTGTGTAAAACCTTGTGATCTATAGTGAGGACTTTGACTTTTACCTAGTTTTGGATAAAAATACCTTTAATAGAAGTAAGATTTGAAAAAATGTTGAGGAAACTGAATTAATTAGTGATATAAATTATGGGCAAATTAACATTGTCTATAGTAAACTTGTCTATAGTTTATGAGCATTTTTAATATAATAATAATCATATCTCACAAAATTAATATTAATTACTATCTTCTTGATCAGGAGTTTCTTGATGGTAGAAATCATCTTATCTCCTGGGTACCTAGTATACTGATGTATGCTGGAGTTTAATAAATGTTTGTTATGATTCAAAAATTTGTTTTTAAGTTGATAAGAACCATAACATTTATTCCCTAGAAACAATGTTATAAATGCCAATCAGGCTCTCCCATTTTATCTAAAATTATTAGATTATTTTTTAAAAATGGAGACAACCCTAAGTGCCAAGGAGTGTTGTTCAATAAATTATGATTCATCCATTTGATGTCTAGCACCAAGCAACTGTAGAAGAATGAGATAGAGCTGTACATACTGACAGTGTGTCATAGGGCAAAGATGGGAATAAAGGGTGGTGAACCACTAGCAGAAAAATACACGTCTGACTCCATGTGGATAAAAATGTGTCTGTGTGTGTCCACTTATTTATGTGAAGGCATTTAAAAAAGACAAGAAGGAAAGGCACCAAACTGTTAGTAGTAGTAATCAGTGGGTCCGGAGTAAAAATGGATAGAATTGAAGGAGACTGTCATATTTAACTCTATTGCTGTTATATTGAATAAATGTTTTTAATGTGTTGATTTTTTTTTTTTTTTTTTTTTAGAGACAGAGGAAGGGAAAGGGATAGAGAGGTGGAAACATCTATTAGAGAGAAACATTGATTGGCTGCCTCCTGCACACCCCCTACTGGGGATGGAGCCTGCAACTCTGGCAGGTGCCCTGACTGGGAATCAAACCAGTGATTTC